GAGGAAAAAAAAAAAAAAAAAAAAACTTCTAATGTCTCTGGATCCAAATGTGTTTTCCTAAAAAGTTATTGGGGGCTTTCTTACACGTTACAGTGTTTCTCCCACAGGTTTCTTCAGGAGAAGCATTACCAAAAATGCCGTGTACAAGTGTAAAAATGGGGGCAACTGTGTGATGGATATGTACATGCGACGAAAGTGTCAAGAGTGCCGACTGAGGAAGTGCAAAGAGATGGGAATGTTGGCTGAATGTATGTATACAGGTATCCGCTCCAAGCAATTAAATTCCATTAAAATCTCTTACACAGGCAGATGCCAAGTAATTCCTATCGCAAGGATGATGCTCCACATACTAAACAAGGAATTGCTAAGCCATCTCCGCTCCATGAAAACGGCAACAGACCCCTGGAATTGTTCAAACTGCCAGCTAAGGAGCCTCTTACTTGACCGAAAGAAATGACTAGCTCTTTTATTTTTCTTTATCGCAAAGAATTTATACATTGAGTGAAGTGGCATCAACATGTGATTACAATAACATGGATTAATGAGCTATGTAGAATTCTGAAAGTTCTCTAAATTTAATATACTTATTTATTGCTTAATGGGCATAAAAAGCTATACATGTAGAAAAAAATAAGAATGCCTTAAAAAGTACAACTGCCTCTTTGTTGTCTAAATAGAGTTTTAAACCAAGTCATTTTATTAAGAATTCATCTTCTCTTAGTGCAGCTTTGAACCAATTTGTACAGGTTTACACAGGAAATTAACTACCCTGAGTTTTAATATAAATTTGCCCTTCAATCTGATAAAGGAACACTGTATTAACTGAACAGTCATCCTCATCAGAAATTAGAATGCGTGTTCGTATATAACATAATTAATTTTCCATTCTGCAAATTCTACAGACTATTCAGATTCTGAGATATGCCCTGTTCCTCCTCAAAACACAAATAGACAAACTAATGTCACCAAGGGGATGACAACATTCAGGGAGGGAATGCCACATGAAAGAAAAGCCCGAGGAAGGTGACTCCACTTCTATTGTTCCCAAACTGTACGGGAGACTGGGATGCACCCAGAGAGACAAAGCGTGCAGGAGTGGAAAAATAGGTCTGTGTAAATAATCTCGCTCTGGCTGGATGAAAGTTTATACTGGCTGATCGTAATCTCATTTCGGCATACGTGAAATAAAAGCCTGAGTGAGGGTTGCTGCTGAAATCTAACCTTGCGATGGAAATACTTTGACACTGCGTGGTTCATGTTGCTCATTACTTAAATATGAACTTGTTCCATCTCAGCTCCGAGGATATTTTGCATGTGCGCCCCCACCCCAAAGTTCATACTACCATTTATTAGCATAAAAATCTTTCTGTCATAAATAGAGCTCTTTTATGAGTCCATAAAATAGGTTATCTGAACAAAGAACTTCCTGGAACTTTGTTTTGTTAACACAGAGAGAAGAATGAAGAAGCCCAATAAATATGGAAGGTTGTTCTGCACTTTTTAAAGCTCTGAGTATAAATCAATGATGGCAGTACATGGCCATTCAAAAAAAAAAAAAGTCAGTTCCTTGTGTTAGTCAGGTTTCTATCACTATTTTAAAGTACCTGGGATAACTGTTCAGAGAAAAAGGTCCTTGGGGCCAGTGAGGTGGCTCAATGGGTAAGAGAGCTTGCGGCCAAGCCTAATAATAGCCTGGGTTTGATCCTCAGTTCCCACATGGTAGGAGTCAATCAACTCTTTCTTACAAGTTATCCTCTGACCTCTACAGGTGCTCTCTCTCTCTCTCTCTCTCTCTCTCTCTCTCTCTCTCACACACACACGCACACACACACACACACACACACCACAAAAATAGTGTTTTTTTTTAAAGGTCTCTTTTGACTCATACTTTTGGAAGTTCCATGATCGGTTCCCATTGTGTTTAAGCCTCTGGTGGAGGTCCTGCAGGGCAGTGGTTGGGAGTTAATGACAGAGCAAACAGCCAGTTTAATGGCCAAGAAGTCAAAGGTTCCTACAGTCTTCTCTGAGGGTACACCCGCAATGGCCTAAGGATCTTCCACAAGGTTCCACCATGTCCCAGTAGCCCCACACTGGGGGCCACACCTTTAACACAGGGGCCAAGTACTTGAACTTCTATATTTTAAAAAAAAGCTTACATAGTAGTAAAGATTAGCAGGGTTTAAATTTTTTTTCCCTGAAACATGTTAACATTTGTTTTACTCAACCAGTTTAATGTGAAATTGAATATACTTTTTGTCCAACGGCATGCAAATGGGTGAAAATAGTAATGTTATATTTTAAAATACCAATTTTCCTCGTCTCCTAGACAAGGAATAGGGAGCAAGTCATGCACCATCCTACTGACTAAACACCTCGTGTTTTGAATAATGCTTTAGTACGACCAATTATTTTATATCAAGCTTGTTTTTAACAAATGATCTAATCTCATTTACACAGTACTCTGAGGTAGACATTATTCATATTTTACAAATGAAGAAACTGAAACTCAGAAAGGTTAAACGTCTCATTCAAGGTCAAGTCTTAAAGATTTGCCTTCTTTTTTAAAACATTGGAAGGACTAGAATTAATTCTGCACCAAACTGACTTATCTTCTGAGCTGACCACACAGTGTGTCATGACCATGAACCTAGCAATACTTTCTGTGCTTATTTTCTTTCAGGCTTGCTGACTGAAATTCAATGCAAATCCAAACGACTGAGAAAAAATGTGAAACAGCCTGCAGATCACACCACAAATGAAGAAAGTGAAGGACGTGACTTGCGACAAGTGACCTCCACTACCAAGCCATGCAGGGTAACAACACACAATGATGCCACCAAAGCCATGGGGGAATTGTACTGCTGGGAGCCTGGGGATCTGCCTGGGACACTGTCAGATTAGAGCCAGGGCCACTGTGGGATTTCCATCTCAATTGTGCATGAAATGGATTCCTTCTTTTCTTTTGAATCAAGAGGGAAAGAGATGCTGTGTTGTGAGAATTCAAATAATAGCAGTGTCTAAGGTAAAAAGTGGTTTTTCTTCTCTCTCTAGTTTCATTCATTCAACTGCTATCATTTCCAAGTGGCTACCAATGGGGCAGATTTGGTCTTCTGGGTGTGGAGTTTTCCAACTGAGGGTGTTTTGTTTTGTTTTGTTTTTCCTTCTGGCAAGGCAAAAAATTTTCCTTCTGCAGAAGAGTGCCAAGCTGCTCTGAATCCAGCAAGCACACTTTGTTAAGATGGTCTCTCCCTTTCATGCCTAACTCAGAATCAAGCTTACCTGTCTCTCATTAGTTGAGATTTAGCCACACAACCTAAACCCAATTAACTAATTTAAAGGGGAAGGGGACATTCTAGTCAGAATCTTTTGATGCAAAAGCACAACTCTCACAACAATGGGAATAAGAGATAGTTTATTCTGGAGCCAAATATGAGTAACCACACCCTGGGAATACATATTCAGGTGTTCCATGTTCCAACGTAGAAGCAGTTTCATGAAATTTTTATGGTAGCAGAGCAAAGAAAAATCATAAATCAAAATACTTTCAAATGCATTGGTGGAAACATTAGGTAGTTACAGTAAAAGAGAAATCTCAGCTACGCCTCATATACTATCTGATGACATCAAAAGTTGGTGGAAGCTGATGGTCTGCCAAGTTAATACATTCCAAAAGGGTTTTATCTGTTAGTCACAAAATGTTAAGTTAGAAACAGAGGTGGACAAAGAATGGCTACTCAGGGGTCTAAAGATAGCCCAAGATAAATTGTAATTAGGCTTAGGAACTGCAATATTCCAAATTCTTCACAATCACAGAAGTTCTTAATAGTTGATCAGCCTTTGCATAAAGCTTCAGTTTTTGAGAACTTTAGTTTACAGTTCTCCTGTTGGCCAAGCATCACATTTTATGCAGGAGTAGGGGGCACATATTTATTCTCATGTTGCTTGGAAACACTTCCTAGGATCTGATGTAGATGAGGCTGAGTAGCAGGCAGGAAGAGTAGTCTTTAGGAGAGATGAAAGCCAATATGGAAGAAATTCCTGGATCATATCAAAACTATTAGCCATCATGATCTGGGTCTGACTTGACTGTTTTTGTTTATCTGTTTTTTTTTTTGTTTTGTTTTGTTTTTGAGGCATGGTCTCCTTGTAACCCCTGCTGGCCTGAAACTCACTATGTAGAACAGACTGGCCTCTATCTCACAGAGATCCACCTGCCTCTGCCTCCTGAGTGCTGGGATTAAAGGTGCAGGCCATCACATCTAGCTTGACTTGAGTTTTAATGATCTTTCTTTCCTCCTGTTCTTGAGAAGTAAGAGTCCATCTTGGGAGGTCTGGACTCAGCAGGTGCTGGGGATTGATCCTTACCAATGAGTGAAATAGGGTTTGCATTTATCTGTGAACTAACAGAGAAAACTTGCCCTTCCTACTGAGTCAGAAAAATCTTTTAAGAAACCCGTTGACCAATTAAGGGCAAAGTAAAGGCACAGTATCTGGAATGGTCAGACAAATGATAACTCACAAGACATCTGGAAGAATTTTAATTTGCCATTAGCTGAAAATCCAATAAGCCATGTGGTCCAACCTTTTCCAATATTTATTTGACAAAAAGAACTTCATCCACTTTTAGTTTTTCAAATATATTGTGTTGTATTGATTTCAGGAAAACTAATTTTACAGAAAAAGGTTATTTTGCCATAGTGCTTTGTCAGTCATGCTTTGGTATAAGAAAACAAAAAGTTGACAGGGTGATTCACATTTCTCATGAGACTATTAAGAGGGAAAGAGATGTTAGGGATCTGTACGGAGCACACTATGACTCTTTGGGGTTCAGTGAACTCTTTGTAGCATGTTAGATATATAGGCTTTGAAGCTTTGGCCACGTGGTCTCTGTCACAACCATGTAACTGCCATTTTAGTGCCACAGCAGCACAGACAATATATCAATGAAGGAGTGCATGTTCCAATAAAACTTTAATTATAAAACCAGGTGGATTCAGTCCACAGGCCACAGTTTTTCACCCTTGAATGTAGATAGATATACTTAGATTCTCCACTTAATATACAGGAAACTTTCCTTTTTGCAATTGAACCTTTAACTTCCACTGACCTTCAATATAAAGGGGCTGAATGACCTTTGTATCCACACTGTTTATTCCCATGAAAGGAAATACACAAAAGGGATATTTTCTAAATAGGAAAATGAACAACTTGAAACAACTTTAGTGAAATACGACGCTTCTGTGCCAGGCTCTAGGAAAAGCAGTTTTATACTCTGTGAGAGCTCACAGTGCTTGTTGTACTTAAGATTTAAAAGAATACTTTGCTGCTAGTTCACTCCAGATACATGTACACAGGACTATGTCTACAACCACCCTCCCTAACACCTTTTATTTTCTTGCCAGTGTAGGAGAAAACTGAACTCACCCCAGAGCAGCAGCATCTGCTACATTATATCATGGATTCGTATAAAAAACAGAGGATGCCTCCAGAAATAACAAATAAAATGGTATGTATACTATCCAAAAATCTACTTCTTTAAAGTTGGAATGTTCTGGAGCTTTTACTACCTTGAAGATGGAATTTACATATGAATGTGTTACTTGAGATCATTATAGCTGAGAATTCAAGTTATATATTCAAACTTTTATCGGTATTAAGCAATCAAAGTCTCGTATCTATTTTGTAAATAGTAATTGCTTTCCAAAGATCTGAGAAATATGAGCTGAGGTTTAAGATTTCATTATCTACATCTGGTTTTGTTTTCTTTAATGAGTTTATATTGTGTTGTCCTTTCATTTGTTTTGTTTTTCTTTTTTTCCTTAAAATTTAGTTAAAAGAAGAATTCAATGCAGAAGAAAATTTTCTCATTTTAACAGAAATGGCTACCAGTCATGTACAGATTCTTGTGGAATTCACAAAAAAACTGCCAGGTATTTTTTAATAATGAAAGTTAACATTCATCAAGTGTGTACAATATGTTATGATTATTAATCATTTTATGTGCAGTGTTTTGTTCAATTCTCAAAATACTCTTGTGTAATGGGATCTGTCATCACTACTTCTAATGCAAGTGTTTTTACATTAGCTGTTTCTCTATTACACTGTACAATTCCCCTATGACATTGAGAGATGCAGGTCTACTCACTATAAAATTAGAATCCTATCTGACTCAATGTTTCCAACTGCTGTAGACATGAAAATTTAGAGACCGAAAGCATACTTAAAATCAATCATAATTCTTCCTTGGGCTGGGGATGTAGCTCAGTTGGTAGAGTCCCTGCCTCACTTACATGAAGCCCTGAGTTGAATCCCCAGCACCACGTAACCTGGGCCTGGTGGCACAAGCTTGTAAATCTTAACACTTGGAAGGTAGAGATAGGAGGAACAGAAGTTCAAGGTCCTCCTTGGCTACATAACAAGTTCAAGACCAGCCTAACATACATAAAACCCTACCTTTAAAACAATCTTCTAAATCAATAGGTCAAAATTGAGACTTTGCAAAGATGTCATGTATCCACTTACTCGGGTATCAGTCATTGATACCCCATACCAAATACCTAGCTATTACCTTCAAAGACAGTAAAAATTCAATAAGCAGTGGTTGGTACCCCATGCCAAGTGCATAGCTATACCTTTCAAAGACAGTAAACATTATTATGATAAAACACAGACACAGACACACAGATGTGTACACACATACACACACATATGCAGACATAGACACACACAGACACACACATACACAGAACTGTTTGAACAGAGCAGAATTGTGTTTGAGAAAGACTGAGAATCTTCAGAAAGGATTATCTCTGAGTTAGACTTTAACAAAAGTTTCTAATTGACATAGGGAAGAGATGTTCCAAGTTAAAAGATCTGCTTATGAAAAAGTAATGAGGCATGAACAAGAGTAGGAATGTTAGAGATGGGAGAAGAGGGCTGGAAGATGCCTCAGTCAAACAAGCATTAGGACCCAAGCTTCACTCTCCAGCACCCATGTAAAAACCTGGGCATGGTGGTACTCTCCTGGAATCCCAGCACTGGGGAGGCAGAGACAGAAGAATTCCTGGGGCTTGCTGGCCAGCCAGTCTAGCTGAATTGGTGAGCTCCAGGTTTTATGAGAGACCCTGACTCAAAACACCTAAAATTGACTTCTGGTCATACACCTGTACACACAAATGCATACAAACGTGCGCATATCCCCCTCCCCCACACACAAACAAAAGATGGGAGAGAAAATTCAGTGAAGCTGTAGACTAGTGTCTTTAGTGGGCTTTCTGATTAGACATTAAAGCAAGCTAGTATTAGGTGCTGAGGGCCCAAGGAAGTTGATCCTTGTCCCCTGGGTGGTAAAGAGCTTTGGGGATAATGATAAAAATTTGCTATAGACAGATGGATTTATTAGGTTTGTACATGATGGAGTCGAGTGGATAGGGACAAGAGGTAAGGAAGAGTAGTTAGAATGCTACTGCTCAAGTTCAGAAAAGAGGCCTTGAAATAAAGCAACAGCAGTAGGTGAGAGAAAAGAAAAGGTAACGACATTGAAAACCAATGGGGTGATGAGCAATTGCATGTGTGAGGTGAAGGAAAGAGACAGATCATCATGTGATAAGCACATACATTTATCCAGTAAGAAACCGGATTGCAGGGATCTCATTTCCCAGCCTAAAATTCCTTCTGGTCTATTATCACCACTATCTAAGAAGCTAAGTGGAAGCTGGAGAGATGGCCCAGAGGCTAAGAACACTGATTTTTGCAGAGGACCTGAGTTGGGTTCCCAGTACCCAGATGGTGGCTAACAACCATCTGTAACTCCAGTTCCAGGGAATCTGACACCCTCTTCTGGCTTCCACAGGCATTGTACAACATGGATGTACTTACATATATGTAGGCAAAACACTTATACACATTAAAAAATTAGAAAGAAAAAGCTAAGTGGTTTAAATTGTTTCAGAGTTTTAAAAAATACTAAGTTCAAGGCCAACCTGGGCTACCTAACAAAACTCGTCTCAAGAATTTTTAGTACATTACAATCTCATAGCTTAAAAGAAGGCAATAAATATCTAGGATAACAAAATAGCACTGAAATGCCAAATTACAGAAGACATCTTCTGACACAGGATCTTAATTAGACATGCTAATTTGCCTTCTTTTGCCAGCATTATTAAATATGTCACAGATAGACATTAGCCCATATAAAACTCATAAAGTGTGGGGAGAAAGTTCTCACTATCATTGAGACTTTAATATTCTCTTGTTTCTTTATTAACAATGAAAGAGAAGCTTAATTTGGTATATGCTAATTAATGCGAAGCCAATCTTGATCAAAAAACAAGATTACACAAGCACAAAAACTGTGGGGTAAGAAATGAAAAAGGGGGGCTGAAGAGATGCTCAGCCGTTAAGAGCACTGGCTGCTCTTGCAGAGGACCTGGTTCACTTCCCAGCACCCACCTGGAAACTAACAACCATCTGTAACTCTAGTTCTAAGGGGACCTGACGCCCTCTTCTGGGATCTATGGGCATTGCATGACATGGGAGCACATATACATACAAGCAAAACATGCATACACATTAAAAAATAAAGTGAAAAGAAATAATAAAGAAATTTAAAAGGTGGAGGAATATGACATTTTTGATTATCTGTGGAAAAAATATTTTTCAGTTCAAACGGTCAGTTGGTTTTGATATGTGAGATAACTGGTGACAATAATCTTGTAAGTCATAGCTATCTGAAAGCATTGGCAGCATCTTAACATTACATCATTCCCAGTGCCTTACCTCATTCCCGAAGAAGAGGAAAATTATTGTATATTCAATAAATAAAACACAGGGGAAGGTTTAAAGATAGATTAGGAAATAAAAGACAAAGAACTTTGAAAAACATTTTTCCCAAATAGCAATTATTGAAATGGCATAACAAATATCAGTAATAGTAAAATGGCAATTCTAATGGGGTATTTTGTGAAAAGGCTTTCATTTAGTACTCTGAGCCTGTCCTCTGCCAGGCACTGCCAGGGTGAGGAGAAGGCATGGTTATGCCTGCAGAGGAGCCCTCTGATTCGTCTTCCTTTGAGGCAGGGTCTCATGTAGCCCAGGCTAGCCTCAAACTTACTGTGTAATGGAAGTTGACCTTGAACTTCGGGTCCCCCCTCCTTCGACCTCCCGAGTACTGGGATTATAGGCATGCAGCACCACGTCCAGTTTATGTTGTGCTGGAGACTGAAGCCAAGGCTTCATGCATACCCGACAAGTACTCTATTAACTGAGCTACATCCCCAGCTCAGATAGTGACTTTTAATTCCTAGCATTGCTGTCTCCTCTGAATTCCCATTGCTGTGTAATGCTTTTAAGCCATTTAGACCCTGTTGTCATTATTTGTCTCTGTTAATGTGTGTGTGCATGCCAGCATGCACACAGATTTGTCTATTGTTTCCCATTCATTCATTCATTCATTCATTCAGATACCCAACAAATACTTTTGGGGTACCTTTGTGTGTCAGTCATTGGAGGTATAAAAGTGAGCAAAATAGCCTCTGCCCCCAGAAGTTTATACTGCAATATAAGCAGCAGACAATAAGTAAGCAAATGAATCCATTATATAATGGCAAGTGGTGGCAAATGATAGTGAGAGCTCAGGACACTGGTTCACAGATAGCCCTGTAGCAGACTTCTGATGGCAGTGAGGGAGCAGGCGTGGAGCTATCTGGGAAGAACGTTCAACCCTGCAATGACAACAGGACATTCACCTCTCCTGCGGAACCAGAGCTCAGAGTAGGAGGAGCACCGAGGAACGGTCAGGCAGAGAGAAGAGGGGAGTGACGTCAGAGGGCTTCTGGAGACCATACTGTGTTAGTCTGGATAAGGACTTTATGTTTTCTAGATGACGTTTTAGACTTTCAAGTTGGCAGTTATTTCCCATTTTAATCTGTTTTCCCCTACCTCTTGCATGAGGCTCAGGAAAGATGCCTGAAGATGCTGCTAATGGATTTTGGGGTGGTGGTGGAGGGTGTTACTCATGCTTTAAAGTCTTACTAAAGACTCATAAGTCAGCCAAATATTCTGGATACTCGAAGATTTTTGTTTTTCTGGCTGTGGATGATTTTGTTCTTCAGAATTGACCCTACAGACCAGAACAATGACTCTACCAGCTTCTAACATCCAGATTCTGAGCGCTGCTTCATCTAGTCAGTCTGTCTCTGCTGTTATATATGTACTTGATACCTTTTTGTTTGTTTGTTTTCTAGTTTTGAGACTGGGTTGCACTATGCAGCTCTGGCTGGCCCGGAACTTAGTACACAGACCAGGCTGGCCTCAGGCTTAGAGATCTGCCTGCCTCTACCTCCTGAGTGCTGGGGTTAAAGGCATGTGCCACCACACCCAGCCTGTCTTTTTATTTTTTAAACTGCATTTCTTTCTTTCTCTTTTTAATTTAATAACCACATGACAAAAAGAAACATTTCATTATAGTTTTAACAGACTCAGTAACAATTTCCAGAGCAAGGATACATCTCTTTCAAAAGTGGCTATAAATTTTTAGGTTCACAGTTGAATTAATACAGTTATACAATATCAAACTCAGTATATACCCTGTAAAGCATAAAATTGAATGGGTTTTTAAACTTTAAAGAAGATCTCCATAAGGTGATAAACATTACCATTGCAATCTACCTGATTTTATATCCATACTCAGGTGCCAAGTATCCAAGTGTAACCAACTGTGACTAGTAATAATCAGATACATAGAGATTAAAGACACGTGCAAACATAACATCTAAACATTAGTAGCATTAAAAATGTAGGAAACAGCATCTTTAAAAATGACAAAAAACTGCATTTCTTTAGTAAAAACTACTCAATGAAGATAAAGTCACCTGCTATTAGGCGTTACGAAAGATACTCAGTGGACTCAAATTGAATATGCATTGTAAAACAATTACAAAATCACTTTATGGAAATATTTTATCAGTGTTGATGATGATGATGATAAAAATCTTAAAATATATTTACAATATTATACATATATACAATGTGAAATATTGTTAGACAAACAATTCCTTGATATGAACTTATCATCTTTACTTAGGATTTCAGACTTTGGACCATGAAGATCAGATTGCTTTGCTGAAAGGGTCTGCAGTTGAAGCCATGTTCCTTCGTTCAGCTGAGCTTTTCAATAGGAAACTTCCAGCTGGACATACAGACCTATTGGAAGAAAGAATTCGAAAGAGTGGTAAGTGATTTGGTTAATGGAAAAAGAGTATGTTTCTGCAAACACTGGTACCATGAAGACAGATGCTAGTCTACCAGGTCATATGACATGGCCATTGTGCCTAGTGTGAGAATGACTTTAAAAGGTATGTGTTACATAGATGGGACTTCTGGAGTCTAGGCTCAAAAATCCTTATTATGGTAATAGCAAAATACTCAACATATTTTCTTCTCTGAACTAAGATGAACGGTCAGAAAAAGACAGTTGAAAGATTAAAATTCTCATCTGAGGGGCTGGAGAAATAGCTCAGCATGCACACTGATGGTCATTCTTTTCCTTTGGAAGAGTTAGAGGGAGGGAAATCAGTCTGAATGGTAAAAATCAAAAAAAGAAAAAAAAACTAAGAGGAGCTGGAGAGATGGTTCTGCAACTAAGAACATCTGCTATTCTTCCAGAGGACCCGGGTTCAATTCTCAGCATCCACCACCTACATGGTGTCCAACAACTGTCTGTAACTCCAGTTCCAGGGGATCCAACACCCTCTTCTGGCCTCTCCATGGCATTGCATGCACACGGTGCACTTACACACATGCAGGCAAAACACTCATATACATAAAATAAAAATAATAAAATGTTAAAATAAAATAAAGAAACAATTATAATCAGTATTCATATATCATATGCCAGGTTCCAGACATTGTTCTAAATACTTTACATATGATTTCATCAAAGCCTAATTAAAATTTTATGAAATAATATCATTCCATTTTACAGATGAAGAAACTGAGACAGAGAAGCTTAGTCAGTTTTCCAGAGGCAGACAGGAAGTTTGATTTCAGAAGAAGCCTTGTGTCTCCTTTTTCCCCAATGATTGGAATTGAACCTAGGACCATGTATGTGATGGTCTTCCATGGAGCTACATCCCCAGCCAGAGGCCATATGTCTTCATCTCTATGCTATACTACCCCTCAAGAGGCAAAATGGGATCAAAATACAAAAAATTTCAGTTTAGCCTCTTTAACTGTTACAGTGTTACCTATGACAGAGAGTGTCAAGAGACATTGGGGTGAATTTCCAGGAATTCTGTGCAATTTGTCTTGGGAGAGCCTTAAAATACAATGTTTTTATTTTATCATGAGATTTTGTGTATGGGTTGCGGAAGGGGGTGAATAAAATGACTCCTAATATTTTATTCTGTGGTTGACTAGAACAAGTTTAAAGACTTCTGAAACCAATATTTTAGAAGAGAGTGGGAGGAAAGTGTTCAGGCAATTATATGTTTGTAATTTACATAAAATAAGCTAAAATAAAAGTTCATTTTTAAAATTCTGCCTTCCCGAGCCAGGCATGGTGGGCAGGCCTTTAATTCCTGCAGGTGTAGGCAGGTGGATCTCTATGAGTTCAAAGCCAGTCTGGTCTAACTAGGGAGTTCTAGGCCATCCAGGGATACATAGTGCGATTCAGCCAAAAACAAAAAACCAGACTATGTTCTTATAGTCATCATGTTTTCTCCTCTTAATTAAAAAATGGAAAGTTATTCTAAAAACCATTGCTTGTATTATAAGAAACCTTGAAGCATAATTAGCACCATCGATAAGAGTTTAACAATGCACACTTGTAAAAGATGCACTGGTCTCATATAGCCAGAAATCTATTAGTTTAATGGGTATTTAACAGCAAAGTGCTATGGCAGTACTGAAGAAATAAATCAAGTGTGCAGCAAAAAATGGAAAGTTATTCTAAAAACCATTGCTTGTATTATAAGAAACCTTGAAGCATAATTAGCACCATCGATAAGAGTTTAACAATGCACACTTGTAAAAGATGCACTGGTCTCATATAGCCAGAAATCTATTAGTTTAATGGGTATTTAACAGCAAAGTGCTATGGCAGTACTGAAGAAATAAATCAAGTGTGCAGCTTCCCTTATGAAACCTAAAGTCTAGTAGAAAGAAATGAATCCTATAAAGCTCTAATTAAATATGGAAAAGAGCTGAGGGATGACCTCTAGTCTAGAAAGGATTTGTAGCATTTGAGCTGGGCCTTAAACAAGACTTAATCTGGATGCTCAGGGTTCAATTGCGAGAGAAAAGGACTAGTAAGTGTGAAGAAATAGGGCCAGAAAGCTTGGGGTGTGTACACAAAAAGACAGAGAGGTTGAGATGCTGGGTTTAGGCTTATAAAAAAGGGAACATGGTGCCGGAGGTAGAACCAGATGGGTAGGGACCTGGAATGTTGGAGTAATGATGTTATTTTCTAAGTATTGGGGAGATGTCAAATGTTTCTAAGCAGAAAAGGTCAAACATCAAAATCAAGATTTACAAGACTCTCAGGATAAGCCAGGGTGGAAGCCAGTCAGAAGACAAGAAGTTTCATGGGGCTGGAGAGATTGCTCAGTGGTTAAGAACATTGGTTGTTCTTGCAGAAGACCCAGGTTAGAATCCCAGCACCCACATGGCAGCTAACAACTGTCCGTAACTCCAGTTCTAGGGGATGTGACAGCTTCTTCTGTCCTCCACAGGCATTGCATGACACAGGTGCACTTACCTACATGCAGGCAATACATGCATATGCATGAAATAAAAATAATAAATAAAATATTTTTTAAAAAAAAGAAGACAAGAGGTTTCAAGGATATGACCCTTGGTGCCAGGGGAAAAAAGGAAAAGAGAAAGGATCTGAGGATTTATTGCCTTAGCTTTTCACCCTTTGAAAGACATTGCTTTGTCAAGAAATATGGATACTAGTTCTTAATTCTTAAATATGGATTATGGCCCAGAACGTGTAAGCAACAAAAACCTGCTAGATAAATGTCAGGTGATAGATTTTATTTCTCACCTGCTCTGGGCCTTGTTTTAAGATCTGATTATGTGTGTACATGCGTGCGTGCGTGCGTGTGTGTGTGTGTGTGTGTGTGTGTCCTGACATATGCTGTTTGGAGTAGGTGCTTAAGAAAAATCTTTAGAATTGATGAAAGGGTGAACGAATGAGTGGAAGTCTGTCTCATTTATCCATTTTCTGTTCAGATGATTCTTTCTGAGTATCAGAGCTCCTGGTTTCCTAGACTGAACACTAACAGGAATTTTTTTCCCAAACCTTACCTGTAGTGACTTGACTAGTCTGACCGATAAATGATAGATACGCGTTTCACATCTGTATTAGTCAGGGTTCTCCAAAGAAACAGAACCAGTAGAATGAATATGTATAGAGATTTATCAGCTTAGCTCACAGGATAGAGTCCGAGTAGTCCAACAATGGCTGCACCACACTGGAGAGGCTGAGAATCTGTAGTCGCTCAGTCCACAAGGCTGGATGTCTCAGCAGTCCCAATCTGGTGCTGGAGGTCTGACAAATTCCAAAATATCAGCTAGTCTTCGGTCTACAGCAGCAAGACAAACCCACCAGCGAGAGAGAAGGCAAGCAGTAAAAAAGCCCCGCCTTCTCCCCTGCCTTGGTCTTTTATACCGGCTGCCATCAGAAGGTAACGCCCACATTTAGGGTGTGTCTTCCGGCTTTAGATGATCCAGTCAAGAAGATCTCTTTCATTTCAGTTAATCTCAGATCCAATCAAGTTGACACCAAGGATTAGCCATCACAACATCTGAGTTTAAGCCAAGGATAAAGGCAGTTGTGTCCCCTGTTCCGAGTTGTTTAAAGTTGATTCAGATGACAGACACTGAAAAGAGAGGTGGGCTTTCTGTCATAGGAATTAAAATGGTTTGATGAGAAGAGTTCTGAAGGGACGTTACTCAGCAACTATTTTCTCTCTCTCTTCCCTCCCCCGCTCCCTCCCTCCCCCCCTTTCCCCCCCTCCTCCAGAAACAGTACCACCAACTGGGGACCAAGTGTTCAAAAAACAAGCCTGTTGAGGATTTTGTGGGGTTTTTAATGCTTTTATTTATTTGATTTGATACAGGTCTCAAGTATCCCAGACTGGCCTCAAACTAGTTTTGTAACCCAAGATCACCTTAAGCTTCTGATCCTCCTGCCCCTACCTCCTTAGTACTGAGATTATAGGTGGGTGCCACCATCCCCTGTTTACATGGTACTGGGGCTTGAACCCCGGGCTTTGTGCCTTCTAGGAAAGTACTCTACCAACTAAGCTACATCACTAGTCCCTATTGAAGCTATTTTGCATCAAAACCATAGTACTGTTAGTGAAAACTGGGACTTATTCCTTGGTATGTTCATTTCTCCTCTTAGGTAACAAGGAAAACAATACTGCTACCTTATAAGACTAAAAGAACTTGTTCATGAATGAATGGTCTCAAGCATATCAGTGAGCACTCACTGTTAACTATAATTATCATTTAAATTTTCTGGCACTTGTTCTCACTTTTGCTGCTCGCATTCACCCACTGGTAAGAAAAGTCAATGGTTACAGAACAGACTAGTATAGATTGTGATTTTTGTTAAAGTATAAGTGCTTACATACATACAACTGGCAGAAAGCCATTGAAGTTTCCTCCCTCCTTCCCCCTTCCCTTCCCCCTTCCCTTCTCCCTCCCTCCCTCCTTCCCTGTCCCTCCCTCCTTCCCTCCCTCCCTCCCTCCCAAACTGCCATTTCACTGACCATGTGGGCATTACCAGGTCCCGTCCCTTCCCCAAACTGAATGAGGTAGGAAAAATCTCTACTATGATTCAACTGAGAGGAAGCCCCTCCTCCCTCCATACACCAACGTTTTCCAAAACAGAATACTGGAATTCTTCGAAGAAAATTCTAAATAAATGTCTGTAACAGTCATTTAGATATGATGCATTGATCTATTAATCATGACATCAAAAGTTAACAATAATTTAGTGTTTGGTTTTGGTTTTTTGAAACAGAGTCTCCCTGTAGACCCTGCTGACCTGGAATTCACTATGTAGCCCAGGCTGGCCTCAATCTCACAGAGATCTGCCTACCTCTGCCTCCAAGTGCTGGGATTAAAGGTGTGTGCAACCACGCTCAGCTAGTAGACCAGGCTTTATTCTAAGTATGTAAGCTTTGGGTCTTACAAGAAGCAAACAGCAGGATTGGA